AGCACTGGATGACTAAGACAACACCATTCTTATTTTTTTGAAAATAGTTTTATTTAATAAAAAGGTCATTTATGTTGCTGTGTAACAGGTTTATATTGTTATTTTTAAAGAATCATTACATGTTGTTAAAATTTCTCAGCTTAATGTCTAGTTCAGTAAATGTTGATGTATGTGACCCACTCAAGCAAAAGCTCTTTCGGGTCCTCAAAAATTTTTCAGAGCGTAAAGGGGACCTGAGACCAAAAAGTTTGAGAACTGTTGGTGTCAGAGAAACCAATGAGCATCATTGTATCACAATGGTGACAACTTTCTGGCAGACGCATTACTCAAAGGAATTTTTGGTTAGTTCTTTGGGCTGGAAAGTGAGACCCTTCTTTGCCCTCACTGCCCAGGGACATGCTTAATGACAATGTTTGCCCTTTCCAAAGAGGGAGAAAAAATAAAACCAATAACTAGACGCTGTCCAGTTGATTCCTATGCATGGCAACCCCATGTGAGTCAGAGTAGAACTGTTCTCCATAGGGTTTTCAATGGCTATGACCTTTCCAAAGTACATCAGTAGGACCAGGCCTTTCTTCTGAGGCCCCTCTGGGTTGTCTCAAACCACCAGCCTTTCAGTTAGTAGCCGAGTGCTTAACCTTTTGCACCACCCAGGGATTCCTTCCAAGGAGGGAGGACACATCTAATTGTACGGTTTTTGTTTCCTTGAGTGGACCTAGCAGGTCTGTGGCTGAAAAGACCTAGCAGGTCACAGTGCTGCAAGGAGAAGGAGGCCATGGGTGCAGTGAAGGAGGGTAGCAAAGTTTGAGGAGGATGTTAGGCAAGGGCTATGGGCTAGAGTAGGCTTCACCTTTCCTTCCTCTTCCCTGTGTTCCTCACCAATACTTTGGGAAGTGGATTCTCTCTTGGGGAAGTGCTTCAAGCTTATGATACAAAACCAACATGGCCCCATGAGAGGACCACCACACATGGTTTCCATTAAAATACCCAGACTCAGCCATCACCATAGTTCTAAGTAAGGATCAAGAACTTGCAGGCCATTCATAAAGAGAGAGATGGCCAAGGAGACAGTCACCAAATGCTGTCACTTCCATTTGTATTATTTTCTGACGAGACAGCTCTGCCATTCATCAAAACAGCATGAGCCTGTCTTGCTACATCTTTAAGCATCAGCTTACCCACAACCTAAACTATTCCTTTTCAAATGAAAAGCTCAGGGATCGTCACACTAGCTGGAGTCTTCAGAGGTTCTACGAAGTACAAACTTAATTAGACTTGGTTTCTAAAAATTTCCCTTGTGTTTTTTAATTATTAGAGACAGCAAATATCTCTAATATTGAACTCATGTCATGTAGCCCCCTATGTCAATTTCCTTAATAAATTCCATGTGCTTTTTACAAGGGTTGTAGTTTTTGGAGAGCTCTCTGTCTTTTTGAACCCCTCAAGACTGGACACTGAGGAATATAAACAATGATTTTTTAAAAAAATATCATACTTCCTCTACCACCTTGAATTTGAAATAGGAACATATGAATGTAATAGCTCTAAAATAACTATGCAGATTTATGGGGAATATCAACTGAGATTATATCGCAGGGCCTACCTGGGCCTTTTTGAGCGGGTGGGGATTTGTTAAAGTCAGGAGATAGTTTGGGGAGAATGTGATTTCTAGTTAAAGTCATCTAAAAATCAATATTGCTGAAGGTCCCTGACATAAGGATCCCTCCAGAACTAGACTTGCTTCTAAAATTGGGAAGACAGGAATAACAATCAAATCTTGAGTAGAAGTGGATAGAAATCGCAGCCAGGAGCGACGCTTAGCTTCTGCCTCCCCACCGTTTGAAGATGGGCTTGTTTTTAAAACAGCCAACATAATTCAGCTGGAGGAGGTAGAAAGCTTTTTTCTCCTCCTCGTTTCAGTAGAAATCGGTGGACGTTACCTTGTGTAATTGTTCCCCCTGCGTTTAGTACCTAAAAGAACCCTCATTGCTTGCATTTCTGTGGGCTTAGCGCCTAGGGCTGAACAAGTATTCATTAGCTAATCCGCGGAGAGCTGGCTGGGGAGAGAAGGGGAGACGGCAGCGGTGTAGAGGGCAATTTACTAGGTGTACTAAAGGGAGTCCTAGGGGAGGTGACAACAGCTCGGGCAGCAGCTGCTGCACGCACAAGCTAGGGGCAGAAAAACCCAGACCCGAAGCCAGTTGCGGGACGCCACTTCTTCCCCAGAGGGTGACAGCGGCAAGGGGAAAGGCTCCGGAAGGCAGAGACCTGCAAAGGGCCGCCCCAGGACTTCCAGGACGAAGTCATCAAAGGAAAGAGAAGGCTCAAGCTTTGACCCTCCTAGCCTCCACTGAGACCTCTTAAAAATCACTCCGGGAATGAGGAAGGGGAAACTGGCAGGTATACGGGAGAGGGCGGTCCGCAGACGGGACACGACCTGGACCACGCGTAATCCGAAGGGAGATAAAAGGGCGTACTTGGCCAAGGGAGGCGCGGGTTCCCAGACTCGTGTGATACTCCTAGCTTTTACGATTCCTTACTCTCCTTTCTGACCCCCAAGTCACCCTGGCAGCCTGCGGGGCCAGAGAACACCGGTGGGGCCCCCTCAGGCGCGGGGCCAGGGGCTAGTTCAGGCCCTTGCTGCCCCTTTAAGGGTTCCTGAAACTTTCCCCCCGGGTAGCTAAGGAGCCTCGTCACATCCGTTGGCCGTGGCCGCCGGGGCGCGTTCCTAGGAATTTCGGGACTCGAGTTTCCCAGGGAAGAGGCGCGGCCCGAGAACATCCAGAGTGGGCAGCGCCGGCTCCGTGTAGTCTCCGGTGGGCCCCCACGCCCCGCCCTGACCTTGGCCGCGGGCGAGGGGCCAGGCCCCTGCGGGGCTGCCAGCGCCCGCCAGAGGAGGT